CCAGTCCCCATGAGATGCCGAGGCTCACGTTTTGAACTCTTACAGGAAGTCTTTACTAATCTCAACTAAAGACATCACCTGACAAAGCAGGCTCACGTGTGGTAGATTACGGGAGCTGCCTTCCCATCAAGAGTTGGCTTCATCACCCAGTGACTCCTAGGATAGTAGGGGATTTTCATCACAAGAAACCAGTATTTGAAGACTAGAGTCTTCAAACTAGAGTTTGATGTGATCTATAGATTTCCCAAATCTAAATCATTATGGATTATGTTGCGTATCCAAATCAAATGATCCTGACTTGATTTTCTTTCTGAACTAAAAGCTTTCCTAGGAAGAGACCACTGGTTTTTATTTTATTTTTTTCCTACTGTTAATGGAAGTTTTCTTTTCACCTTTGGTTTTTGAATATAATGCTTATTTTCATATAATACTAAAATTCTTTTTAAAGATAATAAAAATCCCTCATGCATGCAAACCAGATTACTCTTTATTTTCCTACATAAAATAAAAGGCAGAACAAGGACATAGAAGATGTAATTACGTAAAGATAACACTTGACACATAGGTTTCGTCCTCAACCAGTCAAAGCACATGCGAAGGTCCCTCTGCACAGCTGGTCGGTTCAGGCGCGTCTCCCGTGTGTGCGCACGGCTTTGTGAGGGGACAGCTCGGTTCCTGCGCGGTTGCTGCGTGACCCCCCCCCCCCCAGAAAACCATGTCGTGTTAGATTTTGGTAACGTCGGTGAGGAAGCCTGTGAGCCTCTCCACCTGATGCAAGCTGCGTGAACTAGATGGAAGTCCCGATGGCTGGGGGCGGACCCTTTGCTGTTCTGCAGCACGAAAGACTACGCCTAACAGCGCCCTCAGTTCTTCCGAAGAACTTCTCTTCCAGTGACAGAGTGGGAAAGGAGGGGTTTCGTTCCTGCGTGGCATGGAAATGGCTTTCAGTACCGTTTTCCTCGTCTACGTCTTCATTTTTACTAATTTTTTCTTAAGGAAACTTAGACCATTTACTTAGGGAACAGGTACTTGTAACTTGATGACGAATCCCTGTATTCTTCACCTGCTTTTGAAAACCAAGTAAGGCCTAAGGAGCAGCGCGGCAGAGGTAGAGTCTGCCCACCGCGCGCGGTGGCTCGGCTACTGTGCGTTGGACTGAGCACAAACCTCTTTCTGTTAGTTTGCTTGTGCGCACACCTGTGGATGAGACGAGAGAGGCTGGGGATCACTACCACTGCAACAGTCTTTTGCACTTCATCTTGTCAAACGAGATGGGGATGAAACCTACTCAGAACAAGACGCCATCGCCTCCTCTTTGTGGAGTATCAATGAATTCATCTAGTCCGGATGGGACCCGGCGGTGGATCAATAAGACATTTCCCCCACATTTCCCTGCTGGCCACAAAACCTCCTGTTTCCTCTTCTGCTATTAATTGATTCAAATGATATGAGATGGTCCTATTTATGAGGAAGCCACCCCATGGCTCCTGACATTCCTTTTTAACTCTAAACGGTCCTTGGTGAGTTCTGTTCGGTAGAAAGCATTTGGGGTTAGGTTCACATTGCCTGTCTGTCTGGTCTCTGTGGAGAGTACCGGCCACGTCACAGAGAGTCACAATATTTGTTATTGCGCCTGTAGCATATTAGACGACGCTTTGATCTTTTCGTGGAGACTATATTCAAGGCATTTCATCACTTTGTCCTGATATCTTTTTAGATCCCTGAATGCACACTGTGCATCCCACTGTTCGGTCTATATCCCTGACACCATAGTGCCTCTGACCTGGCAGGACATGGACTACGGCTCTGTGACCCAGCGTTTAGTTGAAATGACCTTTATTTTGGACCCACAACCTTCGGCTTCTTCATTTCCTATGACCCGTAGCGGACCTGACCTTTGGTGTGAGCCTTGAAATGAGGAAACATAGACATCAGCAGTGCCCAGACTTAGAAATGGGGGCGGGCTGAGACCTCCCATCATAAAAGCCACATCCAGCCGTGTGTCTCTTGTCCTGTTCATGGACATTCCCACTTGTCTGAGGGGTCGTAAGGACCCGGGGGGCTGTGCTCATCTTTGCATCACCCTGTGCCCCACCTACGCCTGCGCACCTTTGGTACTGGGACGCGCACTGCGAGTATGTTCCCAGGTATTGAACTAGCCGTGTCCGTGTGTGTGTGTGTGTGTGTGTGTGTGTGTGTGTGTGTGTTTAGATCTTCCATTATCAACACTTACAGGTCATCTGATGAAATCACACTGTGCTGGCCACTTTGAGACCCACATTTTGGAATGGGAGCTGGAAAACTGGGTACCTTATTGCTTTATTTTGCACTCCTAAGTTAGAGGGGGAGTTGGGAAGGAAATTCACCCCCATGAGTTTATTAAGACTGTGGATTATAAACACAGAGAAGGGGTGCTCGTCCCATGACTTTCCTGCGTGTCGTGTGTGACCGTGGCAGTTTTCCCACACTCGTCCTGCCTACGTCTGGGTTTCTAGATGTTCTTGGGTCTCTAGGCTTAACCACAGACCTGTGAGGTCCGTGACGGTGACTGGCCTGTGGACTTTCCCCTTCAGCCCATCTGGGTTTGATGTCTACATGGCTTCGTGATGGAATGGCTGTCGTTTTGCATTTCTTGCTCAGGTTCCCTTGTCGCTTTGAGTTTGTGGTGACATAGCCACAGCCTGCCGTTGTCATGCCTCATTGATTTCACGCGGGGCCTCTGGCTCTCTCCCTGAGCACCCCGCGGAGTTCTGACTACTCCGATCCTCTCTGACCCGCAACTAAATCATCCTCAATATGTTCATGTTGGGCAGAGACAAAATTACTTAAAGCAAATGCTCCCCCACCCACTACATATTTTTGATAAATGTAAAATTTTCAAAAGTGTGTAGAATGTATTTTTGGGAGGTTGTATAATTTACAAAATTCACTTTTCTGTCCAGTAAAATGTGCTCTTTTTAGGGTATCGTTTTTTTTCTTGGTATTGATAAACACATAGAATAGGAGATTTAGTTTTTATTTTAACCAAAAAAGGTATTACGTTGGAGATATTGGCTAGAAATTGCTTATTCTAGTTAATGTATCTCAGATATCTTTTTCTTTGTCTAAAAAAGCCCTATTTAGATATAATTGACAAGTAAAAATTTCATATATTTAAAGTATACACCTTGATGTTGTGATATACTTATTTATTGTGAAATGATCATCACAATCAAACTAACATATCTATCACCTCACACCATTACTATTTTCTTCTTTGTGTGTGTGTGTGTTGAGAACACTTAAGATTTACCCTCTCTACACATTTCAAGTACACAGCACAGTATTATTAATTACAGTTATGACACTGTATAGTAGGTGTCCAGACATGATTCATTCTGCTCACTGAAACTTTGTATTCTTGAACCATCTCCCTGTTTCCTCCAACACCGTCCCTCACCGTTGGCAACCACTGTGGTTCTCTTTGCTTCTGTGAGCTTGACTATTTTAGATTCCATGTATAAGTGAGATCATGCAGCATTTGTCCTTCTGTGCCTGGCTTATTTCACTTAGTATAATATCCAGCAGGCTCACACATGTTACAAAAAGTAGATTTTCCTTTTTCATGGCTGACTAATATTCCATTGTGTGTGTGCACGTGTGCATACATAAACCATACACACCACATTTTCTGTATTTATCTATTGATGGAAATATAAATTGCTTTCACATATTGGCTATGATGAATGATACTGCAGTGCCCATGGGAGAACAGACATCTCTGAGATACTGAGTTCATTTTCTTTGGCTATACGCCCACAAGTGGGATTGCTGGACCGCTGTACTGTGTTTTATAATGGTTACATCAGTTTACATTTCCACCAGTGCTCATGGCTTTCCTTTCCTCCACGGCTAGGCCGGTGCCTGTTGTCCTTTTTGTAACAGTCATTCTAGCAGGTGTGAAATGATATGTCCTTGTGGTTTTGAGTTGAATTTCCCTGATAATGATGTTGAACATTTTTTTTCAGGTATCTGTTAGTCATGTGTATGTTCTCTTTTCAACGAATATCTATACAGTGATACCTCGGTTCTCGAACATAATTCGTTCCAGGAGGACGGTCGAGAACCGAATTGTTCGAGAACCGAAGCAATGAAACCCAATAGGAAAGCGGACTCCACAAAGCGTGACTCTCTCTCTGCACTCACACTGATGACGCCAGCAAGGCGCGCTGGGCCGAATGAACGCCATTCGGCTCAACTCGGAAGTTCGAGTTCCAAATATTTGTTCGGATTCCGAGACAAAAGTTTCTCGAATCCTGATTTGGTCGAAAACCAAGGCGTTCGAGAACCGAGGTATCACTGTATATCTATTTATGGCCTTTATTTTTAATTGGGCTCCTTGTTTTTCTGTCATTGCTTTGCATGGGTTCCTTATATACTTTGGCTCTTAACCCCTTGTCAGATACATGGCTTGCAGACATTTCTCTGTCATTCCCCAGGTTGCCTTTGCACTGGTTGATTGCTCCCTTTGTCGTGCAGATGCTTGTTAGTGTGGTGCTGACTCACCTGCCTGCTTTCGCCCGAGTCGCCGATGCGCTTGGTGTCAAATCCAAACACAGCTTTGCTAAGACCGCTGCCAAGAAGCTTTGCACCGAGACACGGAAGCGGCTCCGGAGCATTGACGGTTTTGCTGGACCCTCTGGTTTCGGCCTCTCTGGTTCCAACCTGAGCATCTCAGCTCACACTCCTACGCTCGTGGAGCCTGAAGTCACCGCGGGCATTGGCATCTCCGCACCTGCGTCCCTGCAGTGGGGCTCATCGTTCCCGACTGTCCTGTGACCCAGGACAGGAGAGGGGGGCCCTGGCAGCATTCCGAGGTCCTTCTGCCGGAGTGTGGCGGAAGCAGAGAGAGCTGTGCCGAAGCTTTCAAGGCATATCCTCCTGGTGCCGACGTGGCCCCTCGGCATCGGGTCACCTGAGAAGACGGCCCGGAGCAGGAGCAGGAGCAGGAGCAGGACCACATGGCTGCTCCCCAGGAACCTCTGACCTTCAGGGATGTGGCCATCTACTTCTCTCAGGAGGAGTGGGAATACCTGGACCCAGCCCAGAGGGAACTGTACGTGGCCGTGATGTTGGAGAACTACAGGAGTCTGGTCTCCCTGGGCCTTGCTGTCTCTAAGTCAGCTCTGGTCACTTTTTTGGAGCAAACGAAGGAGCTGTGGGATGTGAAGGGGAAAAAGACAATACCCATCTGCCCAGCTGTGTCCTCTGAAGACAACCAGGAGTTTCTGCAAAAGCCGGGAAGAAAAGATTTGTTCTCTCAAATAATACTGAATGCAGATCATGGAGGCAGACGTTACCAGTGCGGTGAACACTGGAGAAACTTACACCAAGAGTCAAATGCTAATACACATCAAAGGACTCAGCATCCAGCAAACCATTATGAGGGTGGGAGAGTATCTGACCAAATGCCAAAGCACAATGAAGATCAGGTTATTCAAATTGTGGAGGAGACAAACGCACCAAGTAAATGCATCAAATCTTCTAAGCAATCTTCAGATCGTATTGAACAAAAGAATATTTATAACAGGGATGGAACTTACAAATGTAATCCACCTGGGAGAGTCTTCGGTCAAATATCCAGTCTAAAGAAATGTAAGAAAAGTCGCTCCACAGAAAAACCTTACAAATGTAAAGAATGTGGTAAATCATTTAACTGGCCTTCAGGTCTTACTGTACACAAGAGAATTTATACTGGGGAGAAACCATACCAATGTAGAAAATGTGGCAAAGCTTTTAGCAAGTCTTTAAACCTTACTAACCATCAGAGAATTCATAATAGAGAGAAGTCCTATAAATGTACAGCATGTGGAAAAACCTTTAGCCAGTCTTCAAACCTTATTCACCATCAGAGAATTCATACTGGAGAGAAGCCCTTTAAATGTACAGAATGTGGGAAAACCTTTAGCCAGTCTTCAAACCTTACTAGCCATCAGAGAATTCATACTGGAGAGAAGCCCTATAAATGTTCAGAATGTGGCAAATCTTTTAGCAACCTTTCAAGCCTTACTAAGCATCAGAGAATTCATACTGGAGAGAAGCCCTATAAATGTTCAGAATGTGGCAAATCTTTTAGCCAGTCTTCAAACCTTACTAGCCATCAGAGAATTCATACTGGAGAGAAGCCCTATAAATGTTCAGAATGTGGCAAAGTTTTTAGCAACCTTTCAAGCCTTACTAAGCATCAGAGAATTCATACTGGAGAAAAGCCCTATAAATGTTCAGAATGTGGCAAATCTTTTAGCCAGTCTTCAAACCGTACTAGCCATCAGAGAATTCATACTGGAGAGAAGCCCTCTAAATGTACAGAATGTGGGAAAGCTTTTAAGAACCTTTCAAGCCTTACTAAGCATCAGAGAATTCATACTGGAGAGAAGCCCTATAAATGTTCAGAATGTGGCAAAGCCTTTAGCCAGTCTTCAAACCTTACTAGACATCAGAGAATTCATACTGGAGAGAAACCTTATGAATGTGGAAAATGTGATAGAACCTTTAACCAACGTTAAAACTTTATTGGACATCAGAAAGTTCGTCCTGGAGAGAGGTATTATAGATGTAAGGAGCGTGGTAAAGTCATTTATCAACACTTACAACTTGTTCAGCATCAAAGAATCCATACTGAGGAGAAGCCTTAGGAATGTAAAAAATGAGCTAATTCTCTAAACATCATTCATGTTTTCCTGTACAGCGGAGAATTGACACTGGAGCGAGACCTGACGGAGGTAAGAAATGTGGTAAAGCGTTGTGTCGTTACTGGAACCTTGCTGCACATCAGATCATTCATTTGTAAGAGAACCCTTCCGAATGTGGAAAATGCGGTGCAGCCTTTGTGTGCCACTGAAGCCACTAAACCTCACAGCGTTCACACAGGAGGCAGACATGGCCAACGTGGAGCATGTGGCAGAGCCTTGCATTGCCCCAGAGCATTCATGGCGAAGAGAAACCTTACAGATGGAAGGACTTTGGAAAACGCTTTCTAGGCATTCCCGTCTCCTTGGGCATCAATTAATTTAAGCTCAAGAAAAGCCTTACACATGTGAAGACGGGGCCAAACCTTTCATCATCACCGGTGCGTTTCATGCCGCCCGAGACAAACCGCAGTGGAGAGGCGCCTTGAAGCATGAGCAAGGCCGCTGCATGGCATCCACGCGCCACCGTGCGTGAGAGAGGAAGGCACACTTGGGAGAAAGCTGACGCCTGCAGAGGGCGCAGCAAAGCCTTTCAGGAACGCTCCCAACTGACTCAGCACCACAGAATTCATACCGCAGTCAAGCCTTCCAAATGCCCAAAAGGTCCCACAGCCTTTGGACGCCGGTCATGTTTCACTGTATGTGCAAGAAGCATTCATTTCGGAGAGAAAGCTTACAAATGGACTGTGTGTGTGTGTGCAAAAGCCTTCAATCAACAGTGGTGTCTTACCCCGCTTGAGCGAACTCATACTGCAGAGACCTGTACAGGTGTAGAGGATGTGGTCATCTCTACCCTGTGCTCAGAGCTTACTCAGCGCTGGAGGATTCGTGCTGGAACGAAACAGGAAACAGGGGAAGGGTTTTGCAAAACCTTGAGCCGTCATTCCAGCCTCATTCAACACCAGAGAATGGATACGGAAGGGTAGCCTTTAAAATGTAATAAATGTGACGACATCTTTAACCCTTATTTACTGATGATTCATCTTGGAGACATGCCTAACAAGTATAAGAGATGTGGCAAAGGTCTACTCAGTGTGCAAAACTTACCCAAATCAGAATTCCTTCTGAAAAGAAACAGTACAAATGGAAGAAGCGTGGAAAACCTTTCTTTCAGCATTCACAGCTTATTCGACATGTGAGAATTCATAGGAGAGAGAAATCTTAAAAAGGAAGTTTATAGGAAAGCCATGTAGCTGGACCTACCCCCTCACTGTCTGTCAGGGAGCGCACACTGGGGCGGAATTCGATGGGCAGAGGAAAAAAGGGAAGACTTTTGCCCAAAATATACACTTCACAAAAGCCCAAATAATTTGTCTGAAAGTATCTTGAAAGATGTAAAAAATGTAGGACAGTATGGAATTGGAAATGGATTTTAAGATACCAGAGAAAATCACAGTTGAATGCTGATCAATAATAGGTTTCAAGTGGTCCTCTAAACCAGCGTTCTTAGTATAGAGAACCATCCGAAGTTTAAAAAACTAGATAATCACTTGTTAGTGTGCTTCACCATACCAAGGAGATGGATGTTTGAAGATGTATAAGTACTTAGACTGCATCCTATTTTATAATGACAGTATTTGGGATATTTTGAGAAGGAAGTATTATAATGTGATTCCACTCTCGTAGCACTTAATGCTACTGTGCTTTTCTTCCTGGTTTGTGTGTGCGTGTGAGTGTGAGGGAGAGAGAGAGAGAGAAAAAGAGAGAGAAATGATGGGGTTGATTATTGTTGCCTTAAATGTCTATGAGCTCTTGTCTATAAGGTGGGTTTCACTTATACCTTCTTTTCCCATTAAAGATCGAGGACATTGTAATTCACAATTCATGAAGAAAATCCAAATAGAGACGCTGTTTGTGGTTGACTTAGAACTTTGTTGTAAGTCACCAAGCAGGACATCCTTCATGCATTAATATAAGACATAAGACAATTATGAATATTAACTACTTTCTCCAACCATTCCAAGAAAAATATGTCAGTTCATTAAAATCCTGATGTATCTTCATAGTAGCCAGAGATAGAAGCGATGTGGTAGGAACAAAAACATGATCAGGGATAGGAGCGTAGACAACTAATCCCTAAGTGCATAAAATAATTGTACGTCCATAGTTGCTAAACAACCAGCCTCTATTTTGAAAAACAAAGAAAGCCCAACTAGGTGATCTTTAAATCACAAGTAGAGGAATACTTCTTAAGTAATTGTAATGTGTGTTTTTACACATGGTCACATGATTGGTTGGTCTTACTCTGTTTAATCTGTGTGTAAAGTTATTTTCATTGATAAAGCACAATGAACTTGAAGAAAAAGAAGCTTTTTTCCCTGTTACTTTTACCTCGTAGTTTTAGTTGCCAGCCTGTTATCTCTTCCATTTAATGAAACATTTGCTGGAAAACATAGATGAAAATTCCTGCTTTATTTGTAATCAACAAAATAATATTAAAAAAATAACTACTTACAAATTCCCCTAAATAAACATATTTTGGGTATGTCGGGATACTGTTTATTTTAAATTGGTATCTAGACATTTTTATTAATGAGCATAAAACCTAACACAGTCAATGGTATTCATGTGATCACCATAGACTGTTTACATTGTATTACACTTTTCCCTCTAAGGGTGACATCCTTTGACTCCGAAAACAATTACTTTAGACTATTACTAGTTAGGCCCCTTTTTAGTGCCAAATAAAGAAATGAATGAATTCTTGAAATTGTAAGATTTTCAACATTTGTTTTTGTTTCACAGGAAAATATAGTTCTTCCCAAAGCAAACTCACGTCAGTAAGACTCGTATACACAACTGCAGTGGGTGGTGGTGATTGTGTGGAGTAAGACTTTATAGAAACATCTTAATTATTTTAGTATTTCTGAATTAAGAAACTTATTCTCATAGCTATAACAAAGATTAGTTGAATTACCATTCTAGTAGATAAAAATAAGCATTCTCCATTTCTACTCATTTCTTTTTATTCTTCAGAAATTTGATGGAGTAACTATCTGACCATACAGTTCTCTTTGGATGAACTGCTAGCACCTATGGGTCTCCTCAGCATTGTGTATCTAGGCAGTATCTGTGAGAGACATTGTATTAGGATGTTTGGCTACTTTAGTCTTTAAATAGTAAACTGTGGTCTATGAAATGTGATTTTATGGAAAATTAAAGTTTTTGTCTTTTAATCAACATATCTCTCTGGCTTGTTATATGTCTGAAAATTTAACTGGTATTGTTATAATTTGTTTTTGTTGCCTTAATTAATCCACAATAGGTAAAGAGAAAATACACGGTATGAATGAAACTACTAAAATCTCATTATGTTAAGTGTGGATAGTGAATCAGTTATAATCATAGTTGAAACAAGCTGTGTCAGATACACTGAATCTGTAAGTAGCATATGAGATACAAACAGAATTCATCAGATGAGCTAAGTTGCTAAGCAAGTCAGTTACCTATGAGACCCGTCAGAGAAGAAATAAGAGTCTTGTGCTGAATAGATAGAAAGAGATGGAAGGGCCCAGAGGTAGCTAATACTCAAGACACACAAATACACACGGTGCCTTGAATGAGTCAGCATCATGAGATCTTACATTGAACACCCATTGGTAACAACCATTATCCTCTCCTGAATCCAACTGCCTGCTGTCCAGGAAACTCACAAAACCCACAGCTCCTCTTCAAGGCACAGCTGTGGCCTCCACGCTCCCCGAGAGCAGCGTTCCCGTTGCACGCCGTTCTCTGACTGAGCCCCTTGTTCATGGCCGCACCATCGCAGAGGAGGCTGGCGCCGCAGAAGGACATGGGATGACCTGGGTTCCGCGGTGCGGTTCTCCTGCCCTGCTTGGACTCTGTACCGTGCTCACTTGGCTTGTACTTTTTCTCCTCTTTTCACTGTTGTAACTGAAACATCTCAATGTGAGCGGTGCGTCTCTGTTCTGTGACCTCCGGAACGCTTGCCCGTTGCGTACTCGGAGGCTCACGTAGAATGATGGTGACTTCAACCCAACAGATGGAAAGCTCCTGGGGGGGGGGGAGGGGACACCAATGTATTGACATCATTATTATCTAAGAGTGCCTTCACGTGACCTCGTTTTCCAAGGCAGTTAAGCAATAGATGAGAAGGGAACTTTGGAAAGAACGTAAAGTGGTAACGGTGGAAGACTGGAGAAAACGTGTCCCAGAAGCAGGAGGGGTGGATGGTAGCTTTACGATGCAGGGAAGACTGCACGGGGGTGGGTCGACTCTGCACAGGTGTGGGTCGACTCCTCTGCACAGGTGTGGGTCGACTCCTCTGCACAGGTGTGGGTCGACTCCTCTGCACAGGTGTGGGTCGACTCTGCACAGGTGTGGGTTGACTCCTCTGCACAGGTGTGGGTCAACTCCTCTGCACAGGTGTGGGTCGACTCTGCACAGGTGTGGGTCGACTCCTCTGCACAGGTGTGGGTCGACTCTGCACAGGTGTGGGTTGACTCTGCACAGGTGTAGGTCAACTCCTCTGCACAGGTGTGGGTCAACTCCTCTGCACAGGTGTGGGTTGACTCTGCACAGGTGTGGGTTGACACCTCTGCACAGGTGTGGGTCGACTCTGCACAGGTGTGGGTCGACTCTGCACAGGTGTGGGTTGACTCCTCTGCACAGGTGTGGGTCGACTCTGCACAGGTGTGGGTCGACGTAAACCTGGGAGACTGGCAGGATTATGTTGAAGCTCATAAAAGTGATATAAAAGGGTGATATGAAGATATCCTGACGCCAAGACTGTAGAGCACATTACTTGGTATCCATCCATCTGTCCGTCCACATACTTAACACTCTGAGTGCAGAGG